CCCTGTTGCAGTTGAGAGAAAAAACTAAGACAAGAAAAAAAATGGTCCGAAAAAGAATAAGGAAATGAAGAAAATCAATCTCAAAACAGTCACACTAAAGGTGAGCAAAATCCTTTAAAAAAAACTATCTAGTAGAAACTCCTCTAATATAACGATATTACCCCAACACAACAGTGTGTCCCTATCCATACACGGTGCTATTTGTGGTGTAAAGAAAAGAAAGAAAAAAGAGACAGAAAAAAGAGGGGTTGGACATAGATAACTTAGAAAAGAAGACACTGAGCTCAAAGAGAAATATAAGACAAAAAAATACCAGCCTCAAAACATTCACAACAAATATGAGCAAAATCAGGAAAAGAAAATTCAGTAACCTACCATGCAGAAAACACCTATATAGTTAGTTATATCACTCCTTACAACAGTGTGTCCTTCCCATACATGGTGCTATTTATTGTGTGAGAAAAAAGCAAGAGAAAAGAGGCAGAAAAAGAGGGATTGGACAAAGATAAGATAGAAAAGAAAACACTGAGCTGAAAGAGAAATATAAGAAAAAAAAGTACAAGCCTCAAAACATTCACAACAAAGATGAGCAAAATCAGGAAAAGAAAATTCAATAAGCTACCATGCTGAAAACAGTTAGTTATATCACCTCCTTACAACACTGTGTCCTTAACAATATAATATATTGGTGCAGTAATTTATGATTTAAAAATGCAAATGAATAGAGACCGAAAAATTGCAATTGAAGGCGTTATTGACTCTAACTGGGAAATTAGTGTTATGATTTGAAACGGTAATGTATTTCATTTCATTCGTAAAAGAAAAGTGTGCTGCTGCGAGTATTTTTAGTCGCTGTCTCGGAGTGGAAAAAAAAGTGAGGTCAAAGAGAAGTAAAGGAAAATGAAAACCAGTCTCAAATTATTCACAATGAAGAAGAGCAACATCATCCAAATAAACTTCATTAACATACCTTGCAAAAAACACATCTACATATAACTATAATATCACCTCCTCACAACAGTTTATCCCTAACCTAACCATATAATGTAGCTAACCTGAAGGAAGATCTAATACACAGTGCCAGAATGTGTCGCTGCTACAAGTATGACAAACCAAAAACTACCAACTGTCCAGTGACTAACTGTAACAACTGTCACAATAGTAATAAAATAACTATAATATCAGCTCCTCACAACAGTTTATCCATAACCATATATAGCTAACCTGAAGGAAGATTGAATACACTGTTCCAGAATGTGTCGCCAGTATGACAAACAAAAAACTACCAACTGCCCAGTG